CGCTCAGCCGGGAGCTTCCCTCCCTGGGCTGCGAAGTCCTTGCGAGGGCTCCAGCGGCCAGCTCGGCGGAGAGGCTGAGGGTCCTTTCGGCGCGTATCTTCCGGTCTCCCCGTGCAGCCCTCACCACCATAGACCTGCAGGACCTCGCCGATTGCTCCTCGCTCCTCGGGTCCGTCGCGCCGCCTATTGGTGACCCGGCCGCCTCGCAGGTACCTCTTCCCCCGGAGCCTCGAGGCCTTTCCTAACACAAACGCCACTGGGAAGCAGTGGGTTTATTTTCGAAAAGGCTTATCTGGGGCCTGAGCACATTCAGCGAATGGGGGGAGGCGGCTTGCCGAACCTGAGCCTCTCAGAACCGAACTTCCTCCTCCTGGTACCTTATGAAGGCCATGTATCTGGAACTATTTCTTCTGGGCTGCTTTTTACAATGTAAGGCTCCCCATGTATACCAGGGAGCTGTGACAAGACCTCGCGGAGATGTAAACACTGAGGGACCAGGTGGATGAGTGCCAGCGAAGTTGTACACTGGGTGCCTTCGCACGGGATACATGCCCTGTCTGTTCTCCCAACACCCTCTTCCTGGCCATTCACTAAGAATTTTCATTCTCTGGGTATTCAAGGGGCATGGAAGTGGGTGAATGACTGGGGTTGTGCACACTTGTAATCCCAACACCACTGGAGGCTGAGCGAGAGGATCACAAGTTCAAGTCCAGCCTGGGCAATTTGTCTCAAAATAAAAAATGAAAAAGGCCTGGGGGTGCAATTTAACGTGAAAGAATTTGTATTTGGGGAAGTGGGAAGGAGGACAAAGGACTTGAGAAGAAATCAACAAAAAACATGTCTCTCTGCAGTGAGGGCCCTTCGGCAGTCAGGCACTTCTAAAAAGTCCTCCTCACTCCCATCAAAATCTCTGTTCACTTGCCATCATGGTGCAAAGAGGCATTTGACTTTTTTCTTCTCCCCTAAAATCTGTCTTCCTTCCCACTTCTACCACTTGCGGGGGCTGACTCTTTCCAGGTAGAAGACCGAATCTCTCCAAGTTGTCTGGGAGGTAAGAAGCCTGGTTCAAGTACCCAGAAGTACACGTGTGCTTAGCCAGATGTAACCCACAGGAAGAGAGCCCATTCCAACTTCCTGACCACAGGTACTGGGACAGGCTCAATAGAGCACTCACCAGATGTGACCACCTCCCAGAGCTGGGAGTGGTGGTAGAGCAAAGCTCTTCTCAGTCCTTCACCAAGGGCCTCACAAAGCCTTGGGAAAGAGCTCAGGAGAAATCAGGGTAAGCAGCCACTGAAATCAGACATTGTTAAGGAAGGAGAAAGGATTGGGGATTGCTTGGAAGAGTCCATTTAATTCTTTTAGATCTGAATGCTCAAATAAGAGAAGTCAGCATCTTTCACCCAGATCCAGACCTAAGGTCACTCCCTTACCCAAACGTATTTATTCTGCAAGTAACAAAAACCAGGCATACTCTTGCTGAATTTTTCACTTAAGTATACTGAATTTAAATTTGACATCATGTTCTGTGTAGCTTTTCTTGTAATTAGAGGAATTCCAGATTTATCTAATTAGGGAAGCATGATTAAAAATTTCAAGGATAGTGCTTGCACCAGATGGACCAAAAGGTCCAGGATTTCTAACTGGAAAGACAAAGCTGGTACAGGGACATAGTGACCGCTAATAAATCTCCGGTCTGGATCACCCTTGGGTCACATTTTCTACTGGGGATGGTGGACAGAGGGTGAGTGCATTAGTGTTAGAGGTCCAGCATAGGCAAAAACTTAAAATAGTGTAGGAGGAAGCATTTTCTGGGCCCCAGTTCCTGAGCTGGACTCCAGTCTCCTCATGGGAAGGATTCTTCTTCTCCCATCTGGACTCAGGTGGAGACTTTTCAGCCTTTTGAAGAATGAGTGTCATTTCTGACTCCTTCAACCAGGGCAGAACAGATGCTTCAGGATTTGCCTATTTTCCTCAATCCTTCCACTCTCAGCTCCTTATCCCCTTCTGCGTAGCCTCAATGTTGGAACTGGCCTGAGGCTTCTGGCCTTGACTCTTTTCTCCCTGATAGAAACTGATAATTTGAAACCAGTGTCAAAATAAGTTCTTCTTCCCACAGTGTGTAACTACTAAAGAAAGGCTTTGGGGAGACCAGCAGCTTTAACACCAAGGCACAGATCTAGAGTGGAATCTTTAGCAACCCCTCCTACCATGGTCATGGAGACTACTTTCTCCTTACTAGTGCCTTCTTCAGTGGAAGCCAGGCATTCCTAAAAAGGAGAGGTAATGGCAAGTAGAGAAAAGAACACGGAAATAGGCACAAGTGTTCCAGGGCAGGAGCTCGGCAACTTTGGATAACTGAGCCTCTCTGAGCTTCAGATTTCCCCATAGAAGAGGGAGCACTTCCTGGGCCCTGACTGCTACCCACACTGGTGTGAGGATTAACTGAGAAACTAAAAAAGAAAATTTTGTCTGCTTGAAATGCCTATGAATGAAGGGAATAGGTACCCTCCATCCTTTAGAGTCTGCTTCTCCTTCACACACCCAGACGCCTGTGGGAGACCAAGAAAGTATCCAGGTTGAGAAGGTGGAGGTACATCGACTAAAAGGGAAGTCAACTCCAACTATGTGGGAAATTGAAAAGAGCAGCAGAGGTCAGATCTGCTGAGTGTTGAACAAAAGCAATTTCTGTAGCACCCCCGGCACCTCCAATTATGGTCCACCCTTCTCTTTCCTTCCTGCGGGCAGGAGGTGAGTGGTTAAGGGAGGCGGCCACAGCCTTTTCGGGAAGGGGGGAAGCGGAGTTTCAACTGATCAGGCTGGAGGACTCTGCACGCTGTTGAGTCTTGGAAGAAAAGACCCAGTGCTCAAACTGAGGTCCATACTTAAAGCAGCGACTTCTCGACTAGTTGGCGGTAAGTTAGATTTGAGGTTTGAGGATACACAGAGAACCACAACGGAGGAAGCTGGTTGTCTGGTGCGAGTCATTGATGTGGTGCGGGCTGTCCAAGGGCAGATTGGAAATTCCCACACCGCCCGCGAAAGGACGGCTGTGCACAGTGCGCTCCCGGTGCGATGGGCGGGCTGCCCCCTAGCGGATTGGTCTGGACTTTGTAGGACTGCCTCCACCAACGCAGTGCAAGCCCATGGGCTCCTTGTGCCAGATGGGGCTTGGGTTTTCAGGTATTCGACTTGGCCGCGAATGCAAATGAGTGCAGACCCTCTGCGGAAAGTAGAAGGACGCCTATCCACCGAGGACTATGCTGACCCTTTCTACACCCTGGTTTATTTTAGGACCATTCCTTGCAAACAGAAGGCTTTGATCTGCAGAATTTCAGAGACACAGTGGATGATCTCATTGCAGGCAAGTGCAGTCTCTTTGCAGTTAGATAACTGGGACGTGGGGTAGTCACCCACCCTTGAATCAGACTAGTTCAGATTTCGTGGTCGTGAAGGTTGTAACATGGCCACCTGTCAATGACTTGCCAGAATCTCACCAAATGGCACGACTATTCCATATTTAGGATACCCTCCTCTCTCCAGTGGAGTCGAATCACTGGGTCTATAGAACTTTCTTGGTTTGTTCTTGTGAATTCTGAGAGAGGGATCTAGGGATATTCTTGATGTGGCTAAGTAAGAGGTTGAGTGTGGAGAGGAGGGAAGGCATGTGTGAATTTTAGACCCAGGCAGGTTTGTTCAATTCAACTGATGCCCAGCAGGTGAATGTGGAACACTTGCTTTGTTGGTACAGAGCATGAAGAAGGGCCTGACAGTGGTAGGCTTTGTGGAATGCAGGGTCCCATCCTTACTTCACATACGTGAATACATCTTCACATAAGCTGCTACACCTCGTGTGGTATTTTGCTCCTGTAGCTAGCTGGGCATGAGTCTGAGGCAGCAAATCCAGCTCTTGTTCTTCCCCAGACTCATCCTCTTTGATATCACCTCCCCTGGTGGACAGTGACTTCCCCTTCTCTCCTTGCATCGATGTATCTGTATCGAATTTTGGACCTGGCCTCTCCCCGTCGCTAGACCTGAAAGCCCTGCAGTCACCGCCACTGTGCCCTCCGGAGGAGCCACCTCCACTGCTGGAGCAGTACTGGAAGGAGGTGGCCAACCAGAATCAGAGGGCGTTGGGGGATGCTCTCGTGGAGAATAACCAAGTAGGACACTGGCCTGGTGGTCAAGAATCGTGGGGTGGGGACAGGGTCTGGAGGTTAGGGAAGAAGTGGGGGTCTCAAGGGCAAGGATGCCTCATGTGGGCTTCTGACCAGTGGACTGGCTGGTGGTTTATGCAGCTGTTTCTGCTCCAGTGGCTCCATCTCAGTTTCCAAATTACCTAGGTGGAAATAATCCCACATAACCAGATTTTCAACAGGTCTATCAGCATTTATTGAAGACATTTTATGGCCTGGCTCTGGGTTTATCAGCTCACTGTACTTTTTCCTTTTATTTAATACAGCTCCTGAGCTAGATACTCTTCGAAGTCCTGATTTACAGATAAATGGAGACATGGGGATGTTTGGACTTTAGAGGCAAAACCTTTATTTACCAGTTGCCTAAGTCAATACTCTTCACCACTACTGTCACACTGAGGACTAGTTGAGATATATTTTAAATCCAAGTAATTTGTAAAAAAAAAAAAAAAAAAAAAAAAAAAAAAAAATTATTTTCAA